AGACGAAATTTTCTACCGAATGGGCAACAGAATTATTATTTTTACGCATGTTTTCCAGTAAATATAATTGCATATTTTAAGGGCATCGAAAATCCATGAGGAAATAGCATGCTACTTAAGTGGTCATCTTTTACAGAGTATAGTTTCTGCATGCAGCTGGAAAGAAGGTTGTTCGAATGCTGGCATCCTGAGCTAACTGAATTATCCTGAGATTATGTTGCACGATGCGATTACCTTGGTATTTCCTTCATTTTCAGTTTCACAGTGTATTTATTTTTTATTTTGAGTGTCTTTCCTAGTTGGGGTCTCTTATATCCGGTCTGGGGTTAGATGACGGAAAGGATTCTTCCAGTATATTTGTCGTTACCCGTAAAACTTCTCGAAGGAGATTATTGCCACTAGACATTTAAATGTCAAACTATTTATAGTAACACGGGGAGTTGAAGACCCGCAAAGCACTCAGGGCAGCCCTGGCGTCACAGTATATTACCCGAAATCGTTGCGGGTTGTTTTGTTGGAAGGCACACAAGTGTCCAGGGAAGTTTTCTCCCGGTAAAAATATAGTGGGGAATATGAACAATAAGTGCTTCAGTTCTAAATTTCCGTAAATGACCATCTAGATTTTCATCATCATCATCATCATCACGCCTTTCTCGAGATATCCACTGTATATTCCGAAATGAAACCTTCATTTCTAACTATCCTGGAGTTTTCAACGTACCTGAGCTCACATACGCCATCAGCTAATGTGAATTGCGTCACAGTTTCTACAATCTGCAGTATTGAACGAGACCGATATTGGTCCACACGCATGGTTATAGGAACATCTCGTAATTCGTATGGTTTTAAAAAGCGAAACGCTTCCTAGTTTTAACTAAGGACATCTCGAAGGACATGATTTCCCACAGGACAAACGTTTAGGCGACACTCGTACAGGAAACAGGGATCATTCTTCACTGGGCCAGAGGATTTTGTGTCCTGTCGGTAGGGTCTAAGGGTTTGCCCTATGCCAGAATCAACAAGCCATGACCCTCACAGCCCGATATGCGCTGGCAGTTTCCTGACATCTGGTTCCCTGCCGGTAGATGTGCTTGCGCTTCCGCTGGGTATACAGGTCTTAAGCATGACTGCCCGGTCATTCCCGACCCGACTCCTGTTGAGGTGTTGTTGTTGTTCGTGAAAAATCCTGGTCAATTTTATGATATGCAGAGTGAAGCGGGCTCGGCCGCGCCATCCACCTGCGCCCACCTCCGGTCTTCTTGACTCTGTCTTGACACCGGGTCCCGCTAGGGAGTGGGGAAGAGAGAGTGCGGTAGATGCTGCGCAAGTCCATATGCGCAAGTCATCGTGCATTATCACCTTGCTCCCGAGCACACGGTGAACATCGTCAGCTACGACGGTCGAACTGTCGTCCTGTCGGCTGTGATTGAGAATATTGACAATGTTGTGAGGACATCCACGGAGCAGATTACAAGACATGCTGCCCTCATTAAACCTGGGGACTCAACACAGAGTCCACGGAAGCAGTCTCATAGGGAACAGTAATCAAGGAGGCTGAGTGGTAAGGCAAAAAGAGACGAAAGGCCTAACCGCACGGACACCAAATTTTGGCGAACGCTTCCATATGTCAAGAACGTTTCGGAAGCTGTCGGCCGCCTCCTCGCACCACTTGAGGTTGCAGTTGCACACAGACCGGAGGCAACCATCAGGCGTCAGTTAATGAAACCGAAAGACCCACTGACACGGCAAGATACGTCTGGAGTCGTTTATCGGATCTGGTGCGGTTGCGGACAAAGCAACTACGTCGGAGAAACCCGAAGACAGCTCCGAATGCGAATATCCGAACACGCTGCAGCGGTGTCGAGAAATGACGCCAGCACTCAAGTTGCGGCTCATTCGACGAGATCCGGCCACACATTCAAATTCGACGAGGCCGAAATTCTCGCTAGAGGTGACAACAACGTGAACCGGGAGCTGCTTGAGTCATGGTTTACTAGCCCCCAGTCCATTAACAAGTGCAATTATCTTCTCTCTCCATACTCGGTGCTGAGACTTCGCCTAGGCGGAGTACTTAGCCACGCGGGGAATGCACAGGTGAACACTTTTCCCAACACCAGGGTTAGTGCGTCAGATGGTCGAGCATTCATCACACCAACATCCAACGCACGTGATGAAATTGCAGCAATAAACTACGCAAATGTCGGCCATCACACCACGTGCAACGATCCTTGATGAAGGGGGAGCCGTGAATATTCACAGGTATGCGGTAGCATGGCTACTGCATCCTATAAATATTGCAGCTCCTTGTGCATGAACTACCCGTGTCTGCTTATGTCTCGGAGCATGGGTTCGAGCAGGAATTCCAAACGTCAGCCTAATAAAGCCCTTGCCCCAGCGATCGTTTCTCCTTCTTCATGACATCGGAGTTGGTGCTCAACTACAAGGTAATCTGTGTTCGAAAGGCAAGTCATGCAAACCAGGGGTTGGACGAGGTCGGCTGACAAAAACTAACAATCTGAAGTATTTTTACCGGGTATGAATTGGAAGCAGGCATGTACAGCAGAACTTATTAGAGCCAATAAATTATGGAAGACGGAACGTCTTATTGAACCATCATCCTCTCTAAACATGAGGACGTTTAGGAAGGGTAACCTCTTTTTCTTTTTTTTCTTCTTCTTCTAGATAACCCACAAAAACGTCGGCAAGTGTGGGCGAGGGTTCATGACGTTTCAATGCGGATAGGACAGCTAGGTTTTCATTGGTTAATTGAGTCCGTTTTGTTACAGGAGCTTTGCGGTACTGATGAGTAATGTCCACAAATTTTGCTTTCAGCCAACCGACATCGTAAGTGGATCTGGGTAGTAGGTCAGACATCTGAGAATTCAAGCCTTCAAACTGAGCCTCAATTTCAATTGGGTTTAATCTCCTGTTCGGAACGCAAAAGTCAAGTCCTAGTGATAAAGCCTTTGATTGTAGCTTATTAAGTTTGATGTCAGACAGATTAAGGATAGTTTCATCTGTATTTGGAGGAAAATAATCGTCCGTAGACTTTTTGCATAATGACTTCCTTATTTTAAAACGGTATGAATCTCTTGTCTTCCTTTGTATGATACACGCATGTTTCATGAACATCAACCAACAGAAGAAACTTATCTCGTCAAGAATATGTTTTGTTCAATCCAAACGAGATTTATTTATATCGACAGCCTCAACCGAGTCCGCAATTTTTGATTGTGCAAGACGGTCCAGATTTTTCATGGCAGGACGTAATTTTCCCCGACGGAGGATCTTGTAGAACTCCACTGGGTACTCCTTGCTGCTTATGCAATTCTGAAGAAATTCAACCCGTGTGTTTTCTTTCGTTATTCTGCATCGCAACTGTAGAAGTCTATCCTGAGACTTAATTATATCCGAGGGGAGGTGCTGCTTGAGAAATCTGAAGCATTTTATCCCGGGTATGAATTGGAAGCAGGCATGCACAGCAGAATTTATTGGGGCCAATAAATTTCGTGACAGCTTATCAACCGCAGCCCGCCTCTGAATAATATAGGTAACGAATGGAAGCGCACAGCAGTATGAATTTGTACAGAATGTCAGTGCATAAGAGCAAGGTCGAGGTTCAAGGCAATAAATAAACAGATGAAAGACGTTTCTATAAGCATCATGTAGAAAAGAGGGAGACGGAATGTTAACAACAAATCACAGTTACGAGTAACTTGAGGCGTGAAGGCTACCAGGGCAATTGCGGATTTATCACGTGGTCTAACTGCTTGCACAGGCCTGGTTTCTCGCTCCGTATGTAAGCTGCTTCCAAATAACATAAGGTTCGAGTTGTATGTGCTCGGACAAGTACTCGAAAAGCTGTTTTAGGGTCGACAACATGACCGTCATCTAACTGGTGTTTTGTTTTAGACGAACTGAGGTTTTTGTTTTCCTGTTTGAAAAGCCAATTAGGCAAATAATCAGCGGCCCTGGTTGCCAGCTGCCTTTGCGTTCACCCAACGTACTTGCATCCACAAGTGCATTGGCAAGGCTAATAGGCCAGAAATGACTATCCCAGTCTCGATTGTCCTTGGCGGAACTCCTTTCATAGAGTTTTATCAATAATATCCTTGTGAAATATCGCAATTCGGCCACTTCAAAACACAGCGCAGCTTTCATGTTCCGTAGCCTGATCAGGGAAGCCCTCTTCCACTAATCATATATTAGGTGAAACTCAAAAGTCAGTGGCATTGAGTCGCCGCGATCAATGGCGCCGTCTGCGTGAACAACACGAAATATCAGTACGGCAGCTTGCGCTCGGAAAGTTGGCTTCCGTTTGGCGTAGTAGTTGCATCTACTACCGACTACTGAACCCTCTTACTGTTCATTTTGTTGACATTGTACCTAAAAACCGAGTAAGCAAAACATTACTGGGTTTGCATTTCTGTGTAAAGGGACGATTGCTGATACAATCCGAACGGCTGTATAACGAGTTTTTTTTCTCGTTTGCGGTTGCAGCTCAATCTTTACATTGTTTAAACTTTATTAAGATCCAAGTTGATTTAAATCAGAAGATTTGGAAACACATAAGGTTACCTTTTTGGGACGAGAAAACACAACAAATTAAGTTACATAACTGTGCTTCGTCGTTGAACGCGCCTACATTAGACAGGCTTCTATAGAAGCGAACAGGCGAGCTCGTTGCAAGCTCGTAACGAGGGCGCAAATCAGCGCTTCCGAGCTCGTTTGGAGCTCCGGTTTGGCCAGGCACCCAGCTAGATGCGCCCTCGCTTTCGCGCCCTCGTAAGTTCGCGACAGCGGACTCGTTCCGTGCTCGTTGCAAGCTCGAAAATACGAGATTGCTAATTATAATTAAACGGAGGTTTTTGCCGTCCTGATATCCGCCCAGCCCACCCTCATCCAATTGCAGTTCACTCCTAGATCCTTCCGGAGATAATAGCAATCCAAACTACTTATAAAAAATTTTATTTATCAGAAAATAGGAAAAAATAATTTGTTTAAATCTCCCATGGATATTTGCGGTTTCCGTAATTCGGCGTTCTATCAGGATCTTTAGCCAACGGGGCATCTGAAAGGAAGGTAACGTAGAACAGTAAGTACATGCACTGGATTTTACGTTCAACATTAAAATTAATTAAGCACACAATTTAATCCTTCAAGCATTTATTACCGTTCTGCAAGCCGCTCGTCGATGCTTTATTGCATCTGCGTTGTTGCCTGTCTTGAGCCCGTTTAAAGACGTTCTTAAATGCGTCCTCCAGCTTTTGTCTATCGGACACATGACTTGCACCCCATTTATTGAAGACCCCTGGGAGGTAAAAGGTTAATGCACATAAAATATAAGTCTTACCGGGGATCAGGTTGTAGATTGGAGACCCAAAGAAGGCTCTACTTCCCGATCCTTTCCCATAGAAGGTCGAAAAATCCGTCACGTCTTCCGTGAAGACTGTGGAGAAAATACGACCAGCAAATGCTGACGTATTCCCCCCACCTGCCCCGGACAAGTAACATATCGATGCGAAGTGTATATGTATAGTAAATAAGTTACCAGTCGACGTCTGTATTCCCCGTCTGTCAACGCCGCGCACAGTCGGTCGTAGACGGCCAGCGAACTTACTTGCTGCCATGCCGGCCACTTCTCAACTGGCAGCGGTGTGGAGGCGGCTACAAGACGTCTGACAGGTCAGTTAGTCGCGTGATTATGTGTTGTTGCGAACAGAGCATCCAGTACTGTCGTTTCTTCTTTTTCTCTTTGACGGACGTACGACTATCATGTCGCCGCCGCTTCCTCCGGGGCGTTCTAGTACTGGCGCGTGGGGAGGTGTCATCTAATAGGCAAGTATAAACATTTAAAATACCTACGTAAGTTAGATGTGGACATGCATCCGGGGATTGTGTCGCTTGAATCACTTTGACTTCCCGACTTCTGAATGCCATACGAGACAATAACTTGAAAGCCTTACTGCTGACGAGGACTCTTCATCTCCAGACACCCAATGCCTCTAATCATACTTCTTAGTAGGTTTCTTGCAACAGTGTGGTCTGTCTGCCATAGTTCTCTACAACCCAACAGGAAAGGGCAGGGGTGATCATAGTATTATTAGGCTAACTCTCACTGTACTCGTTAACAAATCGCGAATCAGTAATTAGGGGACTGTTGGGTTGTAGGATTCGCGAAGAGTGCCAACTGAACGGTTGGAATATCAGTGAGACGAGTTACTGTTGCCGAGAACGTAAGGAAATGGTACCGTCGGACGCATTTTTTCGTCAGCCGATAAGATCCCCAAGAACTAACCCGATAAGAGCGGCTCACAACTGCGCCTATGCAGAGTCCCAGCGTCCATTAGTTTCAGCTAGGATGAAGTAGTCATGCATTGGGAAGCATGCATACTTCTGAACCGTTAGCGGCAAAGGGCATTAGTAAATCACAGTGTCTAGTCTAGAATTGAAAACCTTAACGTTTGAGGACCTTATTGGATAATCAAAGTAGTCTTTAATTGTGCAACAGTTCGCGAAAACTATTTGCACCTCACCTGATGGGTACCGTACTATATTTTTGATACATACCGACTTACCGTCAATGGCAACAGAACCATCCGAGGGCGCTGTGCCAATGACCAAGTTGCTTCTTTGTATTATTTTATACAGCGTAGCCGATCCATCTGAGGACGGCAGTGGACCTTCAATATGTTCATGCCTACATGTCCATTCCGTTTGAATGCAGACATCACGTCTTACACTCAGTAACTCACCTAATCGACGCACTACATGCTGCAACGGTTGTGACGGCTTCCTAAGCAATCGTTTGAGCCTCCCGTTTCGAATGGAAATGATGAGAAGCTGTCTAATGGACCATGTCGTAAGACATCGTTCGGTAGGTGCAGAATGCTGTGAACATTGTACACCATTTCTCCTTTTCCATACAAGACTGCATACTTCTCTACAAACATTCGCAATATGCATCTACTCTAAGGTGCCCATTTTCTGCAAGAGCGCGGCTGAACTAAGCACCGCACTGCTGTAAACAGCAGTCGGAAATGTTTCCAGTATGGTTAGATGGTAGTTGGTAGCCCTCCCGGTACCGAAAACTCCCAGCTACCTGACTTACGGGACCGGTGGTAATATGGGCTATACGGGTGGGGCAAATGAGTGGAGGCGTAAATGGAGCTTGTAGGGAATACCTGGAATTGACGATCCTGATAAAGTGAAAACCTAATTTAAATAAGGTGAAAAATGCGAGGAAGGTAAACACTTCGGATCTGACTGACGTATCAGACGCCTTGCTGTTGTAGTCTGAACCCAAGAGGTAGTAAGTGCGCGATGTCGTAGGTGAAGTGCGCCCAGTTCAAACCCAGCAATGTCGAAGCGCCCGGGGGGGGGGGGGCTGCCGTAGTGCCTTAAACTGGAAGTGCAGGAAAGGATCGCTAACTGACCATGGCGGTGTTTACAAGGCGTCACAGTTTTCAGCCAAACCCCTGCGACCAAATACAACCGGGCTGTTCGTAAAGGCGGGAGGTGGAGGGCAACACTCTGTCAATACGACTGATACAGTGGATGCAGTATCGGTTGACACCCTAACTGCGCGTCGGTTGTCCTTTTGTACACGATCGCACCGGACTCTACTGGAGGTCTGGAGTAAAAAGACCCTAGGATGCAGGCAAACCGACGAAACGGAGACCCGCGCCAATCCGCCTAGGATAGTACCTATGCAATTAATCTGATGCAGGTAATACTGTGCGCACATGCAACTAAAAGCATAATGGGAAGCATGATGAATTATAATCCGTTTAGGATAAATCTTTCGCCTTTTACTAAAGATTTTCGTGTGGGGGTGCAATACAATGAATCTATATAGGCAGTCTTGCAGCGCCTCGTTCTCGGCGCGGTTAAAGTAAAGAAGAAAGTCATCCTGACAGGGCCTCTGTGCGTGCACCCCCAGACATAATGAGAACGTTATCACAGATACCGAAAACGAGCCAGTAGGTACAATTGTAGAATCAGTGGGCAGGGCTACCAACTACCATCCTGCCTCCATTCAGCACAACTGCGACTGTGTACAGCAAAAACTGCCGCAGTTCCGTACCCTTCCACATGTCCATGTCACGTATTGCCGTAGCACGCTGTGAAAATTCCCACGGCAGGAAAGCATTTAGGGAACGCAACCTAGCATTGATCAGAGAAACTTCTGATGTTGTCAACCGAAAAGCAGCTTCCTATGGGCCTCGGAACCACAAATTAAGTAGCCTCCGCATTACACGTAAATACACTAAATGCAGGGATCCCAACGTTACATGCCAACAAGGGCGGTATGCCTGTGCGGTGGGGGTTGTCTGGCATAGATAAAAATCCTCATCTACTCTCAATGGCTCTGAAACGCCATAGTATACAACATTGTCTATATATTCACCTTTAGTGTAATATCTCTCACAGCCGCAGTAGGCATTGACATTCCTAATTTGCTTAATGAACGCCCAAGCCGGAGCATCACATATGACAGCAGCTAAACGGACGTGCAGGGTTTCGTCAATCGCACTAGCATGCAAGCCATTCTTGGACAATGACGATAACTCATCCACCAACGGTTTGCAAAATGCCTGGACGTCCGGCGGCTTGCCTACACCGCAATAGATTCCTACAGCAAAAACTGTGCTGACTATGGTCTCCATAACCCTACATAAAATAGGCCAAAACTCAAGCTTTGTCTTCCGGTGAATAGGAAGGTCATCAATAGCTAGACAGGCAATGGACGCTGTGAGATTGGGCAACATAACTGGTCAGTCAGCTGTCTCATCAGGCCCAAATGAACATACTCACCACTGCCCATGGCCGTAAACGGTGCAGAGTTGCTTTCGCTACCCAGCAGTGTGCGTGCGTTCGACGGGAGCTCGGAGTGAAAGGGCATGAGAATCTTTAGTAGACCATTCACATGAGTGTGAGCCATTTGTGAGCGTGCAGCACAAGGGCTCCAGCAGCGCTGGCTTTCCTTCCGCTACCTGCTGCGTCAGCAGACTCGAAGAGCTCATTTGCTCGTGGAGCGTTGTTTATTTCGAAATCAAAGTCATCGGAGGAGGACGACGACTCCATAGACGTTGTCGAGCTGCCAGACGATTTGCTCGACGATGTTGTGTCCGATGGTACCATTCGCCTAACCTTTTCGGCAACATTTCTTATGATTTCAGTTGCTATCCGTCGTAAGTGACGTCGACGGGTGCGGCTGCTTTCAATTTTAAACATTATAGGAAGAATAAAAAAGATAGATTTATCCTCTGAAATATTGGGGAACGCGCCGCAAAGCCCACTGCTGCGACTGCGGAAAAGAAAGAGGTATTCATAAGATTGCCTGTTACAGGAGACGCAGAGAACGAAATCGTCAGACGGCGCTTAACTACAGCTATCACGAGGGCATTCCCCGCGGCGAATTTACGCGAATCCTTCGCAAACTCTCCCCTCCTACGTTTAAGGGGTAAAGACAGAATACCGTTAGAGGCCACATCAATGTATATTTATTCATTCACTTGCTCCTGTGGAGCAGGATACATCGGCCGCACAACGAGACGCCTGGTAAACAGGGTGCGTAAACATATGCCCGCCTGGCTAGACAGAGGTGAGACCCAGTCGATTTCGAGTTCTCTTCTCGCACATTTAATCAATACGAATCACCGAGTCGATGCCAAGGAAGCATTTCAGGCTGTCTACCGGACACCAACATCCTACTCTAAAGGCCTACGCCAACGGATACTAGCAAGGGCCGAGGCAGGGGCTATACGGCTAGCGAATCCCGTGTTATGATGTCAGAAAACCCTGATACAAGCGCTCTCTCTGCCGTGGCCAACACCAACCCCAAGTGATGACAGCATGCCGCCTCAAATCCCTAATTACAGTGATGGGTACTCCGTGTACTCAATCCAAGAACATCACTCAGAGACTCTCTTACCGCCCCCCCCCCCATCCCCTATCTCTGAGGACCATAGGCCGCCGATCTTCTCATGCGGGCGGCGTGGGGATGATGAGTGTTAATGACTTAATAGCCCTTGAGACATCTATAAACACTGTTGATTTTGTATATCTTCATTCCTTCATGTAACTCTATTGGCCTGACAAAGAACTACCGAAAACACGCGTTTGCCAACTTTACGTCTCAAGTGTAACATGGGAATATTTGCGGTAAAAAGAAACAGTTCGGGAGCGGGGGGATAAAAGCACAAAAAGGATGTCGGCCAAACTGAGCGTGCGCACGACTAGGTGATAGAGCAGGAAGTGGCGCGCAGGTACTGCCTGAGCTCACTCGAGCACCGGATGCTATCGATTAGCATGTGTCAGTGCACGCCGTCGACTGCGCCCCTGTCAACGTGATCCCGACGCGCATATCGACCAATCAAATCGCAGATACGTTTGGGGGCGCGAACGCGTACATTCGCGAGCTCGATACGAGTCGATATATCGACTCACCGCTAAATTTTCGAATTTTAAATTTCCATCTAAATCGATTTGCCTACGCTGGGGCTAGTTCTTCTTACCCTGCATGTGTAAGACTGGTGAGGTGTTGACAGGGCGCGCATCATGCTTATCGGCACACCCACATCACCATATAAGA